TTAGATAGATTATACAGAATAGATTGGTTAGATATATTAGATGGATTAGATAGATTAGATAGATCGATCGATAGATAGATAGATAGATAGGGAGAGAGAGAGATAGATAGATAGATAGATAGATAGATAGATAGATAGATGGATAGATAGATAGATAGATAGATAGATAGATAGATAGATGGATAGATAGATAGATAGACAGAGAGACAGTCAGACAGACCATAGGAGACATAGAGAGCAGACAGATAGACAGGCCAGGCAGACAGACAAACCACACAGACAAACAAACATAGACAATGAGGACACCAAATGAAACAAAAGAAGATATGTGCCTCAAAAAATACCGTAGTGGTATAGTTAGATCTATCCCTTTTTGTGAAACATCAACTGATTTTTACTTCAATTGATAATGTTCGCTATCACTCGAGAAACGTTTATTCAAAGTTGGAAGCCTAGCCATAATTTTTAACTCTTCATTGACCGCCTATTGTTTTTTCACGGCAGTGTTTTACGCGCAATACAACCACAACAGTGCTGAGATATGAGCAAAACTTCATTTGAGCTTCGAACCCTCCACTATCCATTCCGGTGGCTCACGTGCTATGCACTGTACCATTGACGCCCTTTCCTTGCCTTTCTCTCAGCGTGTTTCTTATTCTAACTGTCTCATTAGCAACGACTTGTCAGCAAAAATGAAAAGAAAAGAAAAAGAATGAACGTCAGCTTTAACTTGAGTTCAACTGCGTTCAACGTCGATTTGTCTTCGTCAGATTATTCCCGTGGACGGGTCAGTGCCGATAGCACCGTTAGCGTGCATGTGTAGCGCACTGCAATAACCATGGAATCGATTGCTCGACCAAAGCTCGAGGGGTAGTGGGTCGCATGGTGGAATATCTCCCTCTGATCCACACGGACTGCGACTGCCTGTGGTGGTGACGACCCGAGGCACACTTTGGTCAGGCTGTCCTCGAGGCTCTTGGGAACAACAATGGTTGAACCAGCAAATCTTCGGAGAATTGAAATTATATTAGGCCCGCACAAACAGTGAAGATGGGCCTTCTAAGTATCCAATTAAGCAAATTAGGACTACACAAGGGAAAACCTGTGAACTTGCAGCGCTTTTTGTGTGAGACACAATTAATTTGAGCAACAATACATTGAGTGGCTCTTAGCACGAACACTAAAACATTAAACCTGTTTCGATGATCTGAAAAAGTAGAAAAATGAGAGGTTTCTGTTGCGATAAAAGAGTTTTCCGAACAACACCTCGATATCAGCGTAGCGGCAAATCACGGTTAAGAAAATTTGTTCTTCTAATGAAACGTGCTCATATTTTCTTGCAGTTTCTTCTTTTTCCTTTTCTTTAATACTATAGACACAGACTTGATGATAAACCTCGTACGTGAGCACACAAAATCGAGCATTAACGGAAGTGATCGGTTTTAAAAAGTTGAAGTTATGCAGCACAATCTCGACAAAATATTACACAGCACGACTATCAAATTTCCACGGCAAAAGAAGTGGTTGAATTGCAAACCTAAGCCTTCGTCCAAGTCTAAGCCATGTGAAGGTCTGGCAACGTTCGGGAAAAAACAGAATCCAAATCCGGAGGGCTGACTCTGAGATGGACCTAATTCAGAATAAGCTCGTGGTCTTTCTTCCGAGTCAAGTAGTGACTCGGACGTCTGAGACGATGATGGACGTCGACGAAAACGTATTTGAGGAATTTCCGCAAGAAAAGGGTGTTGTGGTAGGTAATTCTTTAAAAGCAGAGTCTGCAGAGAACATTCACGTAAAACGCTTCAAAAGCAATCCAGAAATGTATAAAACAGTCATTACTATCACAAATCAGTATATGAGTTCTCGAACAATTTTTGTTGCCAACATAATGAATTCCTGGCGGCAAAGCGCAGTGGTCGGAGGCGCTCTGCAATACGCACGTGGAATCGATCCCAGCGCCCATGGCCCACCAAGCCTTCCAACCCTCCGGGGTTGGTAAATTAGTACCAGGCATATCTGGGAGCATAGCAGCATCGGCTTCATACATCGGTGGGCTAGTGCGAGTCCCTGTATCTGTAAAGGCCAGATATGCATTAAATCACCTCCAAACGATGCTTATTGAAGTAGAATGCATAGCGCATCCTTCAAATATTGATCAACGCCGAGAGCTTTCCTTTCCTTTCCTTTCCTTTAACATAATGAGTGCAGAGCATGGCGTGAGAAGACGAGTTCAGTTAATAAAGCGAGGTAAAGAGTTTTCAATCTATCGGATGATCATTGCCTTCTTCGATGTGCCCAAGCCTCGCCCATGCTGTCCACTTTTTGCGTAATCCGTTCTCATGCCAGAGTTGATGTTTACTGAACGTCATGCGTACATGCAGTATGTTACTTCCATAAAAAAGGTTTTATTCGTTTGCACCAAAAAATGGATTTTCCATGCTTTTTTCCATTGTTTTCTTCTGGACTCTGAACAGTATTGCTCTCTTTTCAGCCTTGTCGAATTCTCCAGACATGTTCGATTGATGTCCTTGAAAAGATAGAGCGAGAACAAAGCATTTTAAATGAATTTGCCAACCTCGGTGTACTTTCCGTCCAAAATAGGCAACCACATTATTTACTGCATTGGATAACTGAACAGTTACGATGAAATGGCATCTTGTCACTCCTTTTCCTTTGAGCTGGTGACAGGTCGACAGAACACTTGTGTTCGAGGATGAAACGGTAAAGCATTCGCAGTCATTTAATCCCTGAAAGATCCGCCATGCATTCCACCCTGTCAAACACCATCAGAGGTGATTTAATACATCATGCAAAAATGTAGAGCTTCTGGATTTAATTCTGAGCTAAACAATGACTTGCGGTGCTCGACCGATGTATCAAGTCAGTGCCACTATCCCCCGGACAAATCTAGTACTAAACTGCCAATTCCGGAACGGTGGAATGGCATGGTGAGCCTGAGGGGTACGATCCAAGCAAAGATCACGTCTGTACTGCAAAGCACCTTTAGCCACCGCGATACACGCGCTATAGTTGTATTATTATGGTGAAAACGCTATAGTAGTTAGCTAGAGCTCTTATTTAGAATTGGTACACTTCAAGGCCGAAGAGCGCTAGCAGAATAGCATTCGTAGTCGGAAGACGTGATCGAACTGCACCAGTTGTGCCGTCAGGCGGTTCCCACACACCATGAAAATTTCATTACTCTTGAAAAAAAAATGGTTCTGATGAAGCATATTATATCAATGACTCCATCAAAACGATTCAATTTATAAAGGGATTCCAATTCTACGATGAGGGAACGCATATGCGCTCTCGTCAGAGGCACATATCGCTGAGTACCAGCTCATAATAACGAACTGCTTTCGACACGGAGGTTGCTTAACGAGAATTCCGCCATTATATGAGTTCCGGGTTTGCACTTTAACCAAACTGGCAAATCTACATCAACATCCAGAGAAAGCCTAAAAAGATGTTTTCTGAATTGTGTGCGGCACTTGGAATATAATGTAGAATTACGCAGATGCGCACATCCTAAAGACTCTTACGAAGGACAATGACCACAAGAAAAAGGAACAACTGGAAGACGTTTTGAAACTCTCAAAACTCATGAGAACGTGACATGACAGTATCGTAGCGATATAATGACTTTCAACGAAGAATCGGAGACGTATATAAGCGATAAAAATTGCTATTACTGTGGACTAGCGAATAGTACGCAATGGACGTACACTCTATGCAGACGACGTTCGCCAGTACAGTACGATACCAGTCACTAATACGCACTTCCCTTTTTTAATTTGGTGTTTTTAAGTTTATGTTTACCACAAAGTGTTGTAAAATCCAAGTACACTATTGTGTAGTGTTTTCAGCCCCTCTAATAGCAAGTATCCCCGGAATAGTTACTACTTCTTTCTATTACTGCATGTTTCTGTAGTAAGGATCAGATCTACTGTTTCTCAAGTTGCCTGGCAAATGTCGTAGTACGTAAATATTTTGATCCCATCCTAAGGAACTTCGTATAGAGAATTCCTCTATCAAAATTTTCTATCTACCTAGCAGACATTCAATGGGTCGATGGAGACGGCCTTTGCCACAACACCACTAGACACAGTATCACGTGACCATCGGTCACACCACCGTGCATGCTGCCGAGTACGTCTCATTGCTTGGGGAATGGACCCCGTGACCCGGGCCTTGACCCTCGCTTGGACGTAGCCACGCTCGGACGAGCTCCGCCTTTTTTTTGGGGACTTGGGAGGTGCCTTTTTTGAGAAGTCTTACGTTCGACTTGATTGCCTTATTCTTACCCCAGTACTCTTTTCATCGTTATTCCTGTTGTATTGGTTTTTTTGCCTTTATGTATATAGAGATTTAATCCCAAGTTTGAGTGTCCAAAGCTGTTGTCTGCGTCAACTACGAAAAGTCCCGCGTGGCGTCCTATCACGAAGTCGATCATTCTGTTTAAAGCTAGTGGTTATTCGGTGTCGATAACTAACTCGAAGGCCTATATTCCGCTAGAAACTGCGATATCCTCTAGAAAGGTGAGAAATTTCATTTGTTCATTCCTCATCCACCTTCTCGCACTGTTCACAGATCCTTCATTCGTACAGGTATTATTCTGTTATCACTACTTTCGTGTTCTATCTGCGGCCATGTAAGCACTGCAAATGTTGTGGATGTGGGGGTTTTCCAATTAGTTTTCTTCAAGTGGCATTGTTAGCGGTTGGATTCTGCCGTACTATACACTGTTTTCGGTTTTCTTTAATTGTGGTAATAGAAACAACTATTATGGCTTTTTCTTCTGTTACTGCCATAACTCATCTGGTTCTTTGTGCAGTTTCTGTGAGGTGATTTTTTCATGAGGTGCAGCGCATTTTTGCATCGTTGATGGTTCAAATGGAGGAGGAAGCCGAAACCGTGAAAGAAGAGATTAAGGATGAGGAGAAAGACCAGCCGTCGACTGCTATATCCCAAAAAAATTTAATGACTAGAAACAGAAAATGCCTCCGACGACCTATGTTCCTCTTCGAATTTTGACGTATTCGCCTAAGAAAGGTGACATTCGTGCTTTTCTTGATGGTAGGTAAAATGTCTTGGAATTGTTTGTTGAATATGGATGATAGTGTTTGGTTTAGGGATACCAGTCGCTAACAACGGGCGACAAAGTGGAGAGTGTTAGTGTAAACTGCCTTCGAAACAGGACGTCCTGAAGGGCTTAGAGTTACGTCGGAAAGAAATGAAAGAAAGATACGTTGAAAGCGTGTTCTTAGTTCTTTTGAGTATTCAACAGGTATGTGACGAACAGTGTATCTGAGCATTTTGAGAGCAAATGGACATATTTTCAAACAAACATCCGGCCTAGGTACTAAGCTGTGTAAAGTACTGAAAGAGTACTGTGTGAGATACTTCTAACGTTGATTTTTGGCAAGCAGTGTTTATTGGAGTTGGTATCGCTGAAGTGAAAGTGTTGAAATCGCAAACGCTGGGTCTTTTCAGCACAGTTCCAGCATGTTTTCCCTGTGTATAAATTCATTAAATTTCGTTTTTTTGTTTTTTGTGGAAGTAACACGAGGTTTTCAGTTTCCACGGAAACGCGTCGGCTTTGTAACAGATGATGCAAAAATGATCCGTTTACGCGGCTTATCCTTTCCTTCTACACTTCTGGGCGTGAACGATTCTTTCAACGGTCAGTGAGCTATCATCTCGTTCGGGTTCCGAATTTTCAAAAATTGTTTTGATAGGTAGGAAATACTAATCTCGAACAAGGAAGCAGTGTTGCTGTGGAAGGAGTCGGGGCACGGTTTCTCTTCCCCAATTTTCGCAGCACATAAAAAATTCAAAATATTTGGAGATATTATACAAGTTCCTGATTGTTAAATGCTTATTGTCAGAGTGTTCTTATCTAATGTGGTTTGAGGGAGTGTTTTTACGGCACGGTAGGGCGGCCTAGCAAGAAAGCTTTCGTGCGACTTGCCATAGGGAAACCGTCAAAGCACTAGGTTTCAACATGCAACATGTGGGAAGCTGGTGGGAGAGTGGGTTTAATTTTGGAGTTAAATCGTGGTACTGGATACTTTTCTTGTGGAATTGTTACACTTCACGGATTTCTACTTATCATGTCATTTTCTCCATATAGCTTTTTCAATTCGTATTTATGTATTTTGATTCTCATTGTTTGCAGCTTTGTCTCTTCTTCTTTGTTAAACCTTCTACGTCAAACATTCTTGTTTGATTTATTGGTAAAGTATTCTACGTGCTAGATTTCTTCATCAAGATACTTCGACATTAAAGGATGTGATTTCCTGCGTAAGTGAAAAATTCTATAAATATGAAGGCCATCATTCTGTGCATTATCTTATGATTTTAACTTTCTTCATCGTGAAATGATACTTTTGTAGGCGATCGAGCCCACGCTGCTTAAGTAGTTCTCTCAGCATCGTATGATATACCACCGCTAGGGTACGGAAGACATAACGGCTGTAATGATTTCATTCCTCCTACAAAAGTTCGTCTTCAGTTTTTTCGTTCTGCTCATTCTCTTCCTATTGACATTTTTTTCTGTGGTGTTGTTCATAATGTCTCTAAATAAGATAGGAATTACACCAACCATTATTCACCTTATCTTTTCCTCCGTAGACAGCTTCCACTGTTAGCGAATCGCGTGTTCTCCAGAACAATTTGCTTGGTTTTCGGTGTCACTTTTTCGAAACTTTCATCCATAAAGTTGACCTGTTGTTTCGTACGTGAGGACTTACGCGAGTGTGTTCTTTTCCCTATAGCGCGTAAAATAACATTTTCTGAGCAGCTTACAGCATTGTCCTTAACCTTATTTTGAGGTGGTGGCTATAATATAGACCTGCTTTAAAATTTTCATAACTGCACGCATTGATTTAAACACTTGGGATCCTAACGACATTTGCTTCCTTCAAATTTTACCAAGTATATATTTACTCACATTATACCCTTCTTTACTAACACATTTGTAGAAGGCAGTGATACTGTCTGCAGTGCGGAATTTTCGTAGAAGTTAGACCTCTTATCCAAACATGTTTCGATCTTATAGGAGACCTTCTGGGGTTATTTACATTTCGCATGTCTAAATAGATTTCCTACTCTGGCGTTTAATGTGGGCGAAAAAAAATTTCGTTGAGGTTTGAGGGCCCTGGCATAATCTCGATTTTGAAGATCAGTTCTTAAAATGAGATAGCGTCTAGGTAAGTGGTTGATGCTAATGCTTTATTGTCTAGAGATTATGCGCTATTTGTTGTATTTGCACTCATAGTTTTTGTCATTCAAGTTTCCACACGTGCTCTTCTTTTCGATGCTGATGAGTACATGAATGAGCAGTTTTTTGTGCCACTTCATTGCATCGAGATCAGTGTTGGTTTAAATACGCGATTTTATTGCTCCTGTAGTAATTTGCGAAAACATATGTGTCCTTTTATAAATCTATATTGAACCTCTTATAACGCTATATTTCTTTGGACCAAAGCTTGGTTAAGCACTGTGCTTGGATACTTGGACAGTGCATCGTCACTGGTTTTCGTGCTCCAACATAATCTCCATTTTTCTGAGTTTTCCTGGTTTAACATTTGTGTTTCCCTGCAGTCCCGAGTTCGGCGTTGCCAAGGGCTGCTCTGGGTCATCACCACCATAGTCAGTCGCCGTTCCTGTGGATCAGAGACAAATTTGCCACTACGTGATTAGTTTGATACCAAGATGGTGGTGGATCCTGGCATTGGTTTACTCTTAGTTGGGTTCCGGGTGAAAACGCAGGACTCCTCAGCCTGGGAGACCCTACTGGGATATAAATCCGCTGTAAATTTCAGCAGGGTACCTAGGAGTACCTCCCAGCTACTATGAGGCTATAAACCGTTGGGAGGTTAAGCACTGTAACATTTTACAGTTAGAGTTTTGCAAGGGCCCTACTTTTTGAAATTGCCTTTCTATTTGCTGTACTGAGTTGTTTCATAATGACACATTCGCTGTGTTCAAGTTAGCGTCCAATGATGAATGACGACCATTTGGAAATGCCGTGATGGCGTTTGGTAAGACAGCTGAAACTCACAAACCTTTTCGAGAAATAAGGCCATGAAGGGAAAAAGGCATCCTTTAATATCATTTAATATGTAAACTTTTGTTCAACAAATTATGTTCACAGCTGTTTAAGCGTTACGACGTTGTAGATACGTGGAACTATTTGGGTTAAATGACATGGCAAATACAATGAGGAGGTTAACAATGCGTTTAGCTGGCGGTTTACCGGCACCAGACCTCTTACCTTGGTCGCAATTGGTGTTAATCACGGAGGCGTTCTGTGTTATTGGATGTCAGTAGTCCAATGAATCATGTTTCAGGTAGTTACAATCTTATCTATAGGACCATTCATGGCGGATGTGGTGAAAGATGTGAACTAGTCGCTCGAGGCTCTTTTCGTTCATATAGTGGTGCCTGTTATGCTAGGTGCAGTGTAAGAGTTCGTTTCTCAAGACATCATTGGAGGAAGTAATTAGTAATACTTATAAAAGTTGCTGTTTTTTTTTATAACGTAGTTTCCTTCAGTCTTAAAGCCACAATTCTTCCGCTCACATGTTCTGTACTGACTACGTTTCAGTTTGCGTTCTCTTCTCTACACTATTAATTCTACTTGTTTCCTGTTTTTAATCTTTTCGTGTTCGTTATGGTAATATTTATTTTTCTTTAATCTGTTATCGATTATCATCATCTTCACGTGCGATTTGACCATACCGTTATTCTATCGTATTCGAATGTAACGTTTTTTTTCGTCTGTGACGTGTTCTTTTTTAACGAATGAATGAATCTTCATATTAGTGAACTCCAAACGAACTGTTCATCTATATTGTCGATGGATTCATATACGCGGAAAGCAGAGATTCATTTCGAGAAGTTCGTTAAACTACGGTGCTGATGAGCAAGTGGTATGGCTAGCGGCCGGTCACCAAGCTTTCCATCCCTTTGAGGTCGATAAATTAATGCTAGACTTGTCTGGGAGGATAGCAGCACTGGCTCGACACACGGGTAGCAACCGCGAGTCATTGTAAAGGCTAGATATGCATTCAGTGAAATCTAGCGATGCTTTATGAAGTCGAAAACGTGGCGCATCCCTCAGAGATTGATCAATGCGGAGAGCTTCATCCTCCAGAGATCCATGCCGACGGCATATATATGTATATACATACATGCACATATATATATATATATATATATATATATGTACGTCTTATCTTCGCATATTGTGTGGATCCTAGCTCATCTTTCTTTCGGTTGGTTTTCGTTCGCACACATCTTCCGTACACGAAAGTTCCCAGCTTAACGCGTGAATTCATCTTCTTTGTAGATGTATTTGAATGCTGGAGGACTAGTTTCTCACTAAAATGCTGGGATAGGTTTCCTAAAGCGTTGGGAATTGTTATCACAGGCGGCCACCACTCCCCGTGGATTGGAGGGATCCTTCTCCGGCAAATTTGGTATGTTTGCCGACCGATCAACGAAGAGAGACTTGATTGACGTGAGTTCGTATCCAACCAATACCATGCTTGTACCGAAAGGCATCTCTGTCTACTGCACTTCGTGCGCTCTGCCACGGCTATGCAGTGCATTTAATGTTTTTTCCTATTTATTCAAATTTGAGAGACGGTTCATGTACACATGCTATAAATTCCTCAATACAGTTTGGTTTAACATTTTCGCATTATGTAGGTCGAATTTTGATGAAATCTCTGGCTAAACTATATCACGTAAATTTAAAAGTGTACCTCTGAGAGGATAATTATGGACCGACGACCGGACGTCAATGCACGTCAAAAATTTTTCCTAGTGGTGGTGCGTACACTTTTACATCATTTTTCTTGTTAGTGTTTATTTCTTACCCTATACGTTATTTATGACCGAACGACTGCGCTCATCGTAAGCATACAGTTTTCAATCCTTTCGAATAGTGACGCGTTATCCATCGCACCACTCATTTCTTAGGAGATAACTGCATATGATGACTTCTCTAATTACTCGCTCTAGAACAGATGCCGAAAATTCCCTGGCGTACCAGGCAAGGCGAGGTAACGGGGCTGGAGCAAAGGTGTCGACCACGGCAGGATTCGAAACTGTAATCTTCTGCACTGAAGGTAGACGCGTTATCCATTGCTCCACGCATTTCGTAGGAGATAACATCAAATGGTGACTTCTCTAATTACTCGCTCTGGAATACTCACCGAGAACTCCCTGGCGAGAAAAGCAATGCGAGGTAACGGGGCTGGAGCAAAGGTGTCGACCACGGCAGGATTCGAAACTGTAATCTTCTGCACTGAAGGTAGACGCGTTATCCATTGCTCCACGCATTTCGTAGGAGATAACATCAAATGGTGACTTCTCTAATTACTCGCTCTGGAATACTCACCGAGAACTCCCTGGCGAGAAAAGCAATGCGAGGGAACGGGGCTGGAGCAAAGGTGTCGACCACGGCAGGATTCGAAACTGTAGTATTATGTTCCGTAGGCAGACGCGTTATCCATTGCGCCACACGGCCTTTAGGATACTACTGTACATGATGACTTCTCTAATTACTCGCTCTGGAATATTCACCGAAAACCCCTGGCGTGAAACGCAATGCGAGGAAACGGAGCTGGAGCAAAAGTGTCTACCATGGCAGGATTCGAAACTGTAATATTATGATCTTAACTCTTTTATTTACTGCCTTTTTCTTTTTAATGGCAGGTTATGTTTCGAATTATAACTCATATGAAATGCTGAGATATTTGCAAAACTCCGGACCACAGGTGTATGCAGTGGAGAACGAACACGCGCTGTTGTCCTTACCTGGGAGCAGCGCACTTCACCACTACACCATCCGGGTCCTTCGCTTTGCATGTATCTCAGCTAGTTCTATCGGCAGTTCTATCGGAAAAAGGCAGTAAATAAAAGAGTTAAGATTGTGATTATAACGAGGCCTCAGCTTAACTGGGTTCAATGCCGATATTGGCTCCCCAGATCAATCCCGTTGACGGGTGGTTGCTGATGGCAAAAAAGATCGATAGAACTAGCTGAGATACATGCAAAGCGAAGGACCCGGATGGTGTAGTGGTGAAGTGCGCTGCTCCCCGGTAAGGACAACAGCGCGTGTTCGTTCTCCACTGCATACACCTGTGGTCCGGAGTTTTGCAAATATCTCAGCATTTCATACGTGTAATATTATGTTCTGTAGGGAGACGCGTAATCCATTGAGCCACGCGTCCCGTAGTGAGATCACTGCATATGATCGATTCTCTAATTACTCGCTCTCGAATAGATGCCGAAAATTCCCTGGCAAGCCAGGCAATGCGAAGGAACGGCACTGGAACAAAGTTTCGACCAGGGCAGGATTCGTGCCTGCAATTTTCTTCTCCGCAGACAGGCTCGTTATCCATTCCGCTTTCCGCTACGCGGCTTTATGATGCGACCACTATATAGAGAATTCTCCAATCAGATAGAGAATTCTCCATCTACATAACTGATACACTCAGGGGATCTATGGAGGCGGCGTGGCTGTAGGGCCGCGCGCGTCAGCTGCGTCCATATCTCGTTCTGGCCGTAGAGCTCACTGCTCGCTTGGTCGTAGCGACGCCCAATAGCACCGTTATTTGACCCGATGACGCCGTGGTGATCGCCGGCGCCATGTTTATTATTAATTTCCTCCCGTTTGATTCCACCTTGCGGATTTATTTGCTTAGGTCACAATGATAGTACGTGTAATCCTTAGCCCTTGCATCGCTGACCCATTAAGGTTGAGTTTTGCAAGACCCGGACGGTGTAGTGGTGAAGTGCGCTGCTCCCCGGTAAAGACAACAGCGCGTGCTCGTTCCCCACTGCATACACCTGTGGTCCGGAGTTTTGCAAATATCTCAGCACTTCATACGAGTTATATTTCACAACATACCCTGCCATTAAGAAAAAGGCAGTAAATAAAAGAGTTAAGATTAAGGTTACCGTTGGTTCTTGTGTAATTACGTTGTGTGTTTTAACATAAATTAAATAGTTCCCGTTGCTCACAGGCACCTCACAAACGGTTCATCGCTTTTGCGTACTCTCGCGAACGCTTTTTACATCCTTGCGTTGTGAGCCGTTACATTGGTGTGTACTATTGTATTGTATTTTATTAGCTAACAGCCTACTGATCCACCTCATTCGCAGTTTATTGAACAGACATGGTAGATCGCATTGTGTTCTTGTGTAAACAACATGCGTATACTAATAGAGGTTTAATTACCTAAATGTGAGATACCTCACAAACGGTTCATCGCTCTTGCGCAGTCTCGGCAAACTCTTTTTATATCTTCGTATTTTTGTTGAGCAAACGCGAGGTGTTACTATTCTTTGTTCACGATTAAGCTGACGTTTCGGCGGATTTCGCCTTCTTCAGAGCCGCTTTCTATGAGGTTTCCACTAAGTAACCTTCCTTTCTCCATCCGCCGAAACGTCAGCTTAATCGTGAACAAAGAATAGTAACACTTCGCGTTTGCTCAACAAAAATACGAAGAAAATCACTTGATCAATGCCGAGGTTAATAGAAAGTCGGTCGTGGCAGTTCTTTTTATATCCTTTCGTTGTAAGCCGTTACACACTACTTATGATGAATTCTCCAATTACTCGCTCCGCAATATTTACCGAAAAATCCTTGACGAGCAAAGCAATGCGATAAAGCTGGACTGTAACAAAAGTTTCAACCACGGCACGATGCGAACCTGCAATCTTCTGCTCCGTAAGCAGACGCGTTATCCATTTCTCCGTGCGGCCTTGTAAGTCGTTCACCACATGTGATTTTTCGTCGGACTACTCTTTCGCAAAGTGTTTCCGAAGATTAAGTCGTTTTCTTGTACAGCAAAAGCGAGAATGTGATACAGCACATTTAGTTCCATAGAGAACGCGCAATACAATACAACACTAGCTGACGTTTCGGCAGTTTCGCCTTTTTCAGAGCTCCTTTTTTACGTGACTTCCAACATGAAAGATTAGAACGGCCGATTATGGTCGAATACGGTTGATGAATTTTGTTTACTTGAAGTTTACTTGCACCTTCTGGGTCACTCGGCAGTGAAAGTGATAACTGGTGATAAGGGTGAAGAAGTATTCTACCATATTATTGTCATTTTCTGTGTAATATTGGAACCTTGCTTGTAATATGTGCGATATAATATTTTAAAATAAATCGCAAAGTTTGGAGAATCGTTTGCTTATACTTAAAGTAACAAAATTGTTATTAGTTCTCTCACAGCTGCCTTCGTCATTTGCAATCGAGGAAAAGAAACTAGAGATGTTGGACTAAATGCTTCCACCGAAAGAAAGTGCCGCAGTAGTGTTTTGTTTGCTCAAAGCTTATCTCATTTCGAGTTAACACGTGCGCTTCTAGAGAATGCGCTACAGCAGGCTGAATCGTGATTTCAGACGTGGTGATAGTCAATATGTGCTTATGCTTCGATCGCAGATGATATGCCACACTTATTTTTCAAATATCATTCATCAATAGTGGTGTGTATCTCGAGTGCTTCATAGGCGATTATCGTTTCCAGTTGCCACACATAGAAAGGGTGTATGCTTTGCAATTTACTTACTCGTTTTTTGGCAGACTAAATGGTGATTACAAACCTCATT